TAAAAAGGAAAAAAAAAAAAAAAAAAAAAGAATACCTACTGCAAACTATACCTTTCTCAATTCTAACTCTACAGAAATATTTAAAAATGCATGTCACAAATTAAAATTTCAAGAAATATCAATAACATAGCTGTTTACTCTTGAAACTATAAGCAATACTTGAGAAAAAAATAAAAGATTTCAGTTTTATACCATGGCCCTAAAACCATTTTTTAACTCTAGAAAGCATACTTTTTAATTTTTACTTTTCTACATTGACTTTCCTGTAATATGCAACGCATATAATGCTATAAGAGTTCTCAAAGCTTTAACAGTATGATGAATATGAGGCAAATCAATTTTTCTCCATACTATACCCATGTAATAAGTAACACCTAGATTTTTTTTTTAACTTTAAGATCTAAGGGTCATGAGGCCAAAGAGATTTGATTTTACTTGGTAAAACTTGCCATGGGATCCTGTCCTAATCTTCTAAGTAAATATTGTCATGGTAATTCTAAGTTTTTAAAAATTTTTTAATTTTTTAAATTATTATTATTATTTTTTTTACATTCTATGATGTTGCAGAGCAGTTGGGAGTGAGAGGGAGAGGGGAAAGGTAGAAGGAAATGTGATGGAAGAAGGAGGAAGAAGGAGGGGCGGGATTGAGGTCTGTGGCACCCCTCACATTCCCACAGGGGAGAGCAGGAGGCTTCCAGCAGTGGTCTGGTCATTGCTGGGCTGGGTTCAGATATCAGGGTGGTGTGGCAAAAGCCCCTGCCCACCATCACAGCTCGGGAACCCAGGGCCCTTCTTGCTGTGGCTTTGGTGGTCATCATTGGGCTGGTTGTACATGTTGGCGGGGCATGGCTGAGGCCCAACTTGGAAGAGCCTGGGGCACTTCCTATGGCAGATCAGTGGTTGTCACTGGGCTGGTTGCGTGTGTCAGGGGGGTGTGGCCGAGACCCTCAGCCCCCCACTACCCTGGCTCAGGACAGCCTGGGGTGCTTCCTCCAGCAGTTCGGTGGTCATCTCTGGGCTGGCAGCAGGTGTGGGGGCACACGGCCAAGGCCCTTAACCCCCTACTGCCCCAGCTCGGGAGAGCCTAGGGTGCTTCCTGCGGCAGCTCAGTGGTTGTCACCGGGCTGGTCACAGGTGTTGGGGGGGACGTGGCCAAGGCCCCCTACAGCCCTTGCTTGGGAGAGCCCAGGGCCCTTCCTGCAATGGCTTGGTGGTCATTGCTGGAGTGGTTGCGCTTGTCGAGAGGGTGTGGCTGAGGCCCAAGGCCCCCATTCTCAGGACCGGCTATGGGTGTTGGGGTCATGGCTGAAGCCCCTAGCCTTTTCCCCCTTTCTGGCTTGGTAGCCCAGGGGACTTCCAGTCCTTCTTGGTGTTATAGGTATTCTTTGGTAAAATGAGACCTTTATTAGTTAATATCAGACTAGGTCTCTGGCTGTGGGTACTGTTTTCTTTCAGCTCTGTGTTGGATTATTTGCTGTTCCCACCACTTAATCTCTGCACTGCAACTAATTTGTTGTCCTTTGTTTGCTCCTAATGGTTATAAAGTATTTTGGGGGGGTAATGGTAATGATTCAAAATTAGATAACAGTGATGTCGCACTCTGTAAATATACTAAAAACCATTGATTTGTACACTGTAATAGGTGAATTTACGGTATATAAATTACACTAATAAAGTTGTTAAAAAAATCCAGTTTAATAATCTATGCCTTTCAAATTGAAGGTTCCACATATTTACAATTTTAGTAATAAATGACATATTTGGGTTTACCTAATTTGCCATTTGTCCAAATAATCATTTTCTATTGCTTTAGTGGTTACCCTTGACATTGAGTATTTATTTTCCTCCCTTATTTTTAATCATCTTGTTATGTATAATTGACATGCAACAAATTACACATGTTAAAGTGTACAATTTATTAAGCTTGACTTATCAAACCATCATCACAATCAAGATAGTGAACATATCTATCACTCCCAAATGATTCCTCCTGCCACTCTATAATCCGGCTCTAGCACCCCACAACACCAACCCTCCCCCAACCCAGGTAATGACTGATTAACTTTCTGTCACTATAGATTAGTTTGCATTTCCTAAAATTTATATAGATGGAACCATACAATACATATGCTTCTTCACCTGTCTTCTTCGATTCAGCTTAACTACTTATAAGAGATTCATCCACATTGTTGTATTTTTCACTATTTTTTTTCTCTCTCTTGCTGAGGAGTATTCCATTCTATGGATATACCACAATATGAACGGATATATCCACCATGATATATCCATGGATATATCACCTCATGATGGATGTTTTAAGTTGTTTCCAGTTTTAAACTATTACTTATAAAGCCACTATGCACGTTTGTGTGCAAGTCCTTATACAGACATTTGATTTAATTTATCTTGGTTAAACACTAGGAGTAAAATGGCTAGGTCATATGGTAGGTATATGTTTAACTTTGTAAGAAACTACAAAGATTCTCAAACTGGTCGGAGCACTGTACTTATTAATATAGTCATTCTATCTTCTTATGCTTACTATTTGCATGATTTCTAATTTATCTTGGTTAAACACTAGGAGTAAAATGGCTAGGTCATATGGTAGGTATATGTTTAACTTTGTAAGAAACTACAAAGATTCTCAAACTGGTTGGAGCACTGTACTTATTAATATAGTCATTCTATCTTCTTATGCTTACTATTTGCATGATTTCTCATCCCTTCATTTTCAGCCAATTTACATATGCACCCTTACATGCAAATAAAGCACTTTTTCTTCTCTTTCCAATCTATTTGCCTTATATTTCTTTTTCCTGTCTTAAAACATTGGTTAGAACCTCCTGTACAAAGTTGAAGAGAAGTAGTGAGAGTAAGCGTATTTGTTCCTGTTCTGTTCCTGATCTTACATAAAAAGCATTGATAGCTTCACCATTTTGTATAATGTTAGCAGTAGATTATCTGTAGATGCTCTTAATAAGAATGGGAAAGTATCTTTTTATTTAGAGTTAACTAAATTTTTATTTTTTATCATGAATGAATGTTCAATTTTGTCAAATCCTTTTACTGTATCTATTGAAATGATCATGTTTTTCTTCTATTATAATAATAAGTTTAATTATACTGATTGATTTTCAGATGTTAAAGCAACCTTATACTCCTGGAATAACTGCCACTTGGTCATGATGAATTATCATTTTTATATGAGGGATCTTCAAGAAGTTCATAGAAGGATTTGTATTATCTTTTGATTCCATCTTTCCATGAACTTTTTGAGGTACCCTCATATTGTTGAATTCAATTTGCTAAAGTTTTGGTAAGAATTTTTGCATCTCTTTTTGCATCTATTTCTTTCTCACGAGTAACTGTAGTTCTCTTTTTGTGTAAGGTCTTAGTCTAGTTTTAGAATGAGGGTAATAATTAATTACAATGTGTTCTTCCTTTATTTTCTAAATGAGCTTATATAGGATTGGTATTACTTCTACCTTAAATGTTTGATAGAATTCACAAGTGAAGCAATCTGGACCTGGAATTCTAATGATAAGACGGTTTTGAACTACAAATTCTATTTTTTAAACCAATACAGGACTACTAATGTTTTTTATTTCTTCTCAGGACACTCCTCTTTATTTCTGTCT